TGTCTAATGTAATAATCTAGCATCTCCTTTGTAGAATTATCTTGTTAGTCTTATCCAAAGTATATATTAATATCCTTTTGCGAACTTAATTCTAAAATCAGTGAGATCCCAAAGTATGAAACCAATTTAAAGAATATTTGGATAAGCTATTTTATCATAAAGAGCTCATAATCAAAAGTGAACCCAAACTAGATAGGAATAATCTTTGTTGGTTTTTCTTCATTGGATAACATACACTTAATCCACATTCCCTCTTTTGGGGTGTGTTCTTGAACTACATATTCCACTGATTTGATGTCATTCTCAGAACTTCAAAATCAATTATCTGACTATAAAAAACCATACAAATCACCCCCACCAAAGTGTAGGATGATAGCTTCGTATGAGTCCACTCAACCCTAGGTGCATAAGGTGCCTCCAGCTCTGAAAACCAAAGCACACAAAAGGGTTGAAGGGACCGTCAATATGAAGAATTTTTTTCTCTCTAAAATGGTTCATGATTCAATATTTTATACCCTAATTTTAAGATTTTTAAGGTCCGTTTAGTTTGTTGATTCGATTTTTTAATTCGAGTTGAAATGTAATTTTATGTAATAATTTTTTATTATAATAAAAAAGTTAAATATAACTGTTTTTAAAAATTTTTTATCGTAATAAAATTTAAATTCTAAACTCGAATCGGTAAGAATTATAAAGGCCTCGTTCATTTCACCGATTTGAGTTTTTAGTTTTAGGTTTTTACAGTAAAAAGCTCTCAGAAAATGTCACATCAATTTTTTTTACTATAGTAAAAAGCTCTAAAAAAATGTCACATCTCAATTCAAATTAAAAATTTAAATTTGCGAAGTGAACGAGACCAAACTATAAACTTGTTATTTAAAAAGAGTGAAACTCAACTCATTTTTGAATTAGAATTGACTCGTGTCCTTTCCGCTCTATCAGTAATTCCGATTTCCGTTATAAAAGAAGGGGATGAGTCACCAGTGGCAGTGACCTTATTATTATTATTATTTGTAATTTATTCTGCAAAAAGAAAACCCACTACAAGTCTCTCTAAGAAAAATGAAAAATTCACCACAAAACTAGTAACGAATAAGCAAGGGCCAGTTGGGTTAGGGACGTGGAGTCTCACATGCCATTGTTACATCAATAAGTGAGCCTCTATCTGAGTTGATGGGTGATAGTTGAGCTGAGCAAGGGTACAGGTCACCTTACTCTTTTGATTTCTAACTTGACTATAGAAAAAAAAAAAAAAAAAAAATTGCCATGGGGACCATCATATAATTGGATATAACTTGCCAAAATAATGTTTTTTTCACTCTTGAGATTTTGGAGATTTGGGACTGCATTTGGGGTCCTACTTTGTCATCCTTCTATGGTTGGTTGCCACTTGTGGCAATGGGAAGCCTAGCTTCATTTTTCAAGGAGTTGAGGATTTGGGAAAAGAAATTGGACATCTAAGTATGTCTTTATCCATAAAACAAAAGCAACTGTATATAGAGATGAGAAATGTGATTTTGAAAATTCAAGCTAACCTTTTATCAAAATAATAATAAAAAGAAAAAACTGAGAATTTGGTAATAGAATTAAAAGAAATATTATATGGGCATCATTCAAATCATATTACATTAAATAGTGTTATAATTTAATGGAAATTTGCAAAACCTTTGACTATTATTAAAAAAATTGCATTTGCCGATAGAGTAATCCTATCAGAGCATTATCCGATAAGTCCAAGGAAATTGAACGCTGTTGGATCATATCGAACTCATTACACAAGGTTGTAATGTATGAATGTTTTGAGCCTATTTTGGCTGAGAAACAATAATTAGTTTAAGAGCCGGAATGTAAAACTGAAGGTGGCTACTCAACTTAATATATAACATGATAGTGTTTTAACCAAAAAAAAAAAAAAATGATTCGATAGTGATATGCACCGCCATGCAAAGGAGGAAAGTTTTTTTTTTTTTTTTTCAAATAACTTAATAGGGATTTTTAATATTAATTTGTAGTCAATGGAATTCTAATATTAATTTGTACTCCATCACTAATTTAACTCCTATTCTAGTGTCATTCTATTCTTACTCCTATTCCCATCACATCATTATTCTTTTAAGCAAACGCATATTAAGTTTCTTTTTGTTTTTTGTGGGGGGTTTAAAGGTATACATTGTTGTCATGGAATAACCATACAAACAAGACAAATAGAATATATCTTTGAATAAAGACGCAGAGATGGATATATAATTGGACTACTCATGACAAAATACCTCTCAATTAAGGAACTATTTCCCAAGCAAATAAATGAAGAAAAGTGTCCTCCAACTATTTTTTTTTTCCTTTTAATTTCACTTCATTTTAGGAAATATGCACAAGATCAGCCAAATCTATTTATATATCTTTTTTTTTTTTGTTTTTTTTTTGCTCCAATTGAAAAAGATAAAGACATGTAAGCAAAAGCTAATTTTGAAGCAAATAAGCAATTGCAGAGAATCCACGGAGCCTCCTCTTTATGATACGGTTATTCGATACTAGTGTATTATTATAATCATCATTATCGATATATGTTCTAATCTTTATATATATATAGAGAGAGAGAGAGAGAGAGAGAGAGAGAGAGAACATGAGAATGTGAGATGATTCCAAAACATCGTGCATGCAACATTTACAACATTAATCAAATAAGTTCATGTACACAAAACAAACCCCATGCCCTTGATTGATTTGGAACCTCATCAGCCGTGCGTCGGGGCTAGAGTTTTTAGTTAAACTATAATATTTCCTTACATTATAATTTAAAATATTGTGATTTTGTCTCTCTCTTGGGTTGCACTTCTTTGTTACCGATGAAAAAGCAAATTACGTAAAAACAAGCCAAAAAAGTATTCAAATGGGCATTTTTTTTTTTTTTTAATGAGTGACATGCATTGATACTTTGAAAGTTGCGGTGGGGAAAGTGCCCGTGATCTTCCCCTCACACATGAAACAAACATAAAAAAGAAGAGACACAAGCAAAGTTGCAGCAGATTAATGTGTCAGTAGTACGTGTGGGGGGTTAGTGTATGTATATATATATATATCTACATATGTGTGTGTATATATATGTGCATGTATATGTGGATGTATTTGAAGAATTAGATCACATGCTGCCATGCACAGTTTAGCCACGTGAGGCGCACTTTCATTCCACGGTATAATTGGTAATGAACATCGTAGGATTGACAACAGCGTCAAGGTTTTCTTCAACGGCCAGAGAGAGAGACATGTATTCTGAGATTTTAATTAAAAAAAAATGAAGTAGATCAAGAAACAAACTGTTTTGTAGTCCAACTTTCTAGCTCAATTTCTTTTCTTGGGATACTAGGTTGGAAATATGAAATCAGAAAACAGTTTTTTTTTTTTATATTTTTTTTTCTCTTTTTTCCAAATCAGCTTCCTAAAATGCTATTAAATACAATTCAAACCAAACTTAAATTTTCTTTTACTTTATGTTTTTACATTGCAAACTAAAGGTAGTTTCACAATTTATAATTTTCAAAACATCAAGTTATCGTTGTATTAGCAGGAAAAAAAAAGCAAGTTATTTTTACTATTTCAAAACACAACTTTTTGAAGGATTTTACGGTGGGCCAATTTTTAAGAATGTCAACAAAAAAAAAAAAAAGAGAATTATTGTATTTATTTTTAAAGTATATGCGTTTAGATTTTTATCATTTATTTTTAATTAATATTTTTTTTACTAATATAGTTATTTAACTATAAAGAATATTAATAAAGAATAAAAAATAAAAATTTAAATCCATACACTATAAAGAGTATTTATCTCTTTTTTTTAAAAATAACACTTTTTATTTCCATCATCATTTTAAATTTATCATTTATGCTATTTTTTACTATAAATTTTTTTTTCTGACAGAATATTTTTCACATTCTACTGAAATATATTTTTTTAATAAATAGTGGGATGATGAATTCTGAAAAAAAAAAAAAAAAAAAAAGGGTTTGCTATGGTACAGTGCAGAAACTCTTGCAAACAAACACGAACATTGTACCTCTAAAACTTTTCAGATTCTTGCATCTGCAGTTTTGTCAAATTAAAAGGATGTGGTTCTTCGTTACTGTGTTAGAGATGCCCTCAAATTAACTTGATTCACCCACCAAGCATTTTCCTCAAGCAAAATACGGTAATACCTTTACTACTTACAATAAAGACCAATTATCTCAACTACCTGTCTTATAATTTTCCTTTGCACTAATTCAGGAGACATTCCAAACAGTAAATCATTACCTCTGAACTCAACGACCACATATAAGGAAACCCAACCCAAAACGAAGTAACCTTTCCTCTTTCTTTTTTTTTTTTTTTTTAGCTGGTTCCGGAGGTTCTAAAGATTATTCCAAAACAAACAAAAATTATGCAATTAAAGTTGCTAGAATTTTATGGCGCAGACATATGGCGCGTTTAGAACTCGTTTAAAAATAATTTTATTTTTTATATGAAAATAAAAATAACTACGTTTTTAATCTCAGATAAAAATTATTTTTAAAAATACGTTTAGTAATTTTATCAAAAGATTATTTTTAATATAAAAAAACTTATTAATGTCTCTCTCTGTACTCAAGAGAGGACAAAATGAAAAATGACTAAAAATCATTTTTTATTTCTCTCATTTTACATTAAACTAAAAAATCGTTTTCATTTTTATTTTTTGTCTTTATTGCGCCAAATGCTGTTTTAAAAACGTTTTCATTTTTTCTTTTTCAAAAAACGTAAAAAACAAAAACGGAATCAATTCTAAACACGGCCCAAGTTTTCATATTCAATCAAGTGAAAGTTTTGTTCTAATTTAGACAAACTAAAGTTTAAATGGCGAAAAAAAAGTTCGACGTCTAGTACGATGTTTGAAACAATCTGATCGGCGTAGCAAACGGTATTTTGGCCATCGGTGGAAAACGGAAATGCTCAGACATTGTTACTCTATAAAATGGTTTCTGAGATGAGAGCTTAAGAACTCATTTAAAATAAATGAAATAATACAGTTGAACTTAATATTATAAGATCCAAGTTCTAACTTAGAAATCGAGTAAAAATATACATTGCAAATTTGCTTTTCTTGTGCTCCAGCTGTACACTAGAAAATACCCAAGGCTAAAGCTTCCAAGAGCTCAGAGTTTCTGAAGATTTCAGCTCTGCATAAGCATATTCACAGGTGAGCTAATAGAGTCATCTGTGGAGGGAGTTTTAGAGGTAATAGGGCTTCTTCTCAAAGAGCATTCTGGCACTGAAGGACCGACCATTTCGCGGTCTTATGGTCAAGAAGCTATGAGAATATGTCAAAAGAAAAAAGGGCCTAGTCTGCAAGAAATTAAGCCAAATAAGATAATAATCCCATTTGAAAAAAAAAAATAGAATTAAATTTCAATAAGGCTTGGGAATGAGAAAATGCCCTCGACACTAAAACAAAATACTCTTTAAGAGACGAATCTTGATTCATCCTTCTCTTTTGGTCTTCACATTAGGAGGGAAAAAAAAAAATCATCTACGATTTATGGGAAAAATGTATAATGTGCAACAGGCAATTAATCCTCAAAACAGAAGAATCTAGATTCATCATGTGAATTTAAACAAGGAAAGTTCTATCTACCAAATACATTCAGGGGCAGTTATCTTGATCCATAATATTAACATGCTACATATTTCTAACTCATTAAGACCCTCTTTATGGTTTAGGAGAAACCGAGGAAGCACTAAATGTTTTTCTGGATTTATTTACAATGATTAACAGCTAAAAGAGTACCTGATCATTAAAGAATTTTGATAGACTCGGTAGAAAGATCGACTAGGTCCACGGTTGCGACAAAGAGACAGTGGGAGAAGATGCCTCTAATCCTTGTTTTCCATGCACAGCGGATTTGAGCACATTGTATTGCTCGGTTACCGACCCATAAAGTGCCTCTGTGTACGCCTGCTTAGCCTTCTAGAGGAAAGGCGCAACATCAAGAGAACACGACAGATATCATACAAGTTCACAAAGCTCTTATATTAGCAGGATAGGAAAACTAAGTACCAATTACGTATCAAGCAATGGCAATTTCTTGTCTATCAATCTCAGCATTTCAAGGGAGCTTAGTTCCATGCCAATACAATAAATAAGAAACTATGGACATGATAACATACACCTGATTGATCACTGATGTTACAGGCTTACCGCCTTACATCATACTACTAATGGATAGTGACGAAGCCAGAAGATTTTTCAGATGGGGCACTAGGATAAAAAAAAAAAAAGGTAATCTTCTATTGAATGATGACATAGTAATATAATTAAATTATTGATTGGGGGCACAATTATAATTTTTCTTATAAAATGGGATCAAAATCAAAACTTAACAAACATCCCCCAGTCACATTAACGTAGCTCCACCATTGCTAATGGATGATCCTTTTTCACTGACATCATCCTCACTAAGACCTTTTCAGTTGTAAGAAATCAAGAGCATAAATCGAAGCATTTTATTTTATGGACATGGTACTCAGTGCACCCACGTTACAGGACCTATTTGGATGTCTGGAAGAATTCAACTTCATTTTCTTAAAAAAGGACCTCATAGCTATGGAGGTTTTATGGATTATTACTAAGAAACTTGCACATGGTTGTATTTTCAATGCGGGAAAATGTTGTATAAAGATTAGCCTTCAGAGAGACAAGTCGATGACATCACAAAAACCAATATTCTTGTAAGCCAGCATTAGCTTATCTTTTATATTGAACCGCACTATAGTAACTATAGTTGAATCATTATCCCATTCACACATCCAAAACCCCACCACCAACAAGAAATAAGTTGACACATGATGTGCTAGCTAATTTGATGAGGCGGCCAAAAAGTAAAAATCACAAGTCTATCAATCTATCTCACTTGCTCTCCGTCCTTTTTGTTGTTTTTGGTTAGAAATAGACTACTCATTCTTTAAAAAAACTTTATTGAATAAACCGCAACTGTTGAGGATAACCCATGCAACAAGGTCAACCAAAATAGTGATGGATATCAATTTGAATGAACCAATCATCCATAATGCAAACTAAATCATGCCACATTTTTAAATGAGCTTTTCTTCACAAAAACCTACATCAGATGAGAACTTTCCAAAACAGAGACTTCAAAAGCATTATATAAGAAGCACTACATCTAAACCAGGAGAGTAAAAGACAATCTTCCAGCCACACACACACACACACACACACACACACACACAGAAGCATCAGTTAAACCAACCTCCTCAGATATTTCAGAGGAATCAGCAAAATTTGAGAAGCTGATTGCTGGTGCTACTGATAAACCAGCTCCATGGAAGGAGATAATTCTTTTCTCTCCAATTTCCTTTTCTACCTGGAAAAAAAAATAAAGAAAAAAAAGTCAGGGAAGAGGCAAGAAATCTAGTATTCCACAAGAAACCAAGTTAAAGAAACAACATGCCTGTCTTGGAGGGGGCATGATATCATAACACAGTAATGCTAAGGGATATATGTGCCCTGGAGCACCAGAATGTTCTGCAAGCCTTCTCATATTGTCCACGGAAGAAGCATCGAAGGGTGCCTAAACGCCCTTATATCAGTATAAATGTATTTCAATTGCATTATGAAAACAAACATGTTTAACTTTTATGGAAGCAGCGGTGTATAACAAATAAAAACGCACATAATGCAAACAAGTACAAATGAAAACTACAATGACATTCTGCCAAAACTAAGGGTGCGTTTGGTAGTGCTTCTTGGCGCCCAAAATCACTTTTCTAGCCATTAGAAGCTGATAATGGTGTTTGGTAAAAACCATAAAAAGTGATTTTTAAAGAATTTTTGAAAAATTTACCGCCAAAATCAGAAACAGCCCAAAGACAACTTTGGCTTCTAGATTGTGCGGGAATCAACATAGTATAATTAATGATTATCAACAAAGTTATATTAAATAATTAATAATTAATTACTAATTATATTATATATTAATTAATAATTAATAAATAGATATACTTAATAACTAATAAATAAATAGTAATTGTCAAAATTATGTTAATAAAATAATGTGTTTTAAATTGTGTTTTTAATTTTGTTAATAAAATAATAAATAATATAGTAATTATTTATTTAGTTAAAGATTAATTGCTAAAAATTAAGTATATAACATATTAACAATAAGACAAGTAATAATAGGTTATTAAATAAATAAATAATTATTAATATATCAATCATATATTATGTTAATTATAATCTATTAACTAGTAACAGTTAGTAAATAAAAAATAAATAGTAGTTACTCGACTAATAATTAATATTAAATTATAATTATCAATATGTAATATATTACTCAATAATAATTAATAATTGTTAATTAGTAATTAATCATTGTAAAAAGAATAATTACCAATATTAATAAGTTATGTATATACAAATTATTTTTCTTAATACACTAATTAATTACATATAATCTAATAAATATGAGTGCATTACTAACATAGTAATTACTTATAATTAATTACTAATTTTATTAATATATTAATTTTTATTTACTAAATAATTATCAATTATTAATTACTTTATATATTAATTTAATATTATTAATTACGGTCATCTTAACTACCCACATCAATTAAACCTCACAATTTACCAAACACTATTACACTGCTTTTGGAACCAGCAACACTTGTATAATTATAGTTTACCAAACACTCAACTGCTTTTTATAAAAGTTATTTTTCCTTCAGTATAGCTAAATGTAATTTTTTCAAAATCTACAGCACTACCAAACTGGCTCTAAGAAACAACAAGGACTAAAATATTTCCCAATGTATTTCCTTCAAAAGAAAATTTTAAAACCTCGTGTATGAAGGACCAAATGGAATTGGGTAAGAGGTCCAAAGTATCTTCCTTTCTTCCCCGCTTCTCATTTTCTCAACTCTCGTCAGTGTTTTGTACGTCTTAAAAGGCATAATCACGTCTTTTTACACGAGATTTATCCGTGATGACGAACAAGGATTCTTTTGAAACCCTTATTGCTCTGTATCCTAGTCCTATGTTCTTTCCACAACCTTACCCCTTCATATAACAACTTATGGAATGCATAAACTACAAATAAGAGTTGGATTAGAACAGCCTGTCTATAATCCTAAACATTTCAGCTTCAACAAATAATTGTCATATATTCTGTTATTCCCTCCCTTATTTTTTTTTCTCTCTCTCTTTTCTTTTACTTCTCTTTCTCCGACTATCTTCTTTCTCTTCCCTTGGTCCAACATTAAAAACAAGAATCGAAAACAACCTAACAAAACGATTACTGGAGATTCAAAATGATCACTAGAAACGCCAAAATCATCGAGTGGTTTGCTATCTGACCGGGTGAGTTCAAACTGAAAAATAAATCACAGGACCCCGGATATTTTGGAAAAAAAAAAAGTTTGAACAACAGTATGCGGGTTCAAATCACAACTATAATCTTTTACTCTAATGAAGTGGAGGAGAAAATCTTACTGGATACCATTCTTCTGTCACAGGATCTGGCCGGTCTCTACCACCACTTGGTGCAATCCATATAATTTGTGACCCACCCCTGCACTCAAATTTGTTCAATTAAATGAACCCATATCAATGACAAATCAAAAGCATACATAATGCAGACGTTAAATAACCAATTCAATTATTAAACCCGACTATCAGGTCTCTGAAAATCACAGATTTTGTTACAGTATTAATCCGTCAGTTCCTTTCTCTATATGTGCATTAGATACAACTTTGAAAACTCCAAGTCGTTTCCTTTCTCCACAGATAAAAATGTTATCTATTTATTCATATTTAAGAAGCTGAAAATGTTAGGTACAAGCATTTTCGTCTCTACACAAGACAGACTCCCCAGCTCAACTCTGGTAGCCTCTAAAAACTAGCGCATGTACATAATTTTTTCTCCACTTTTCCTTTCCCCTCCATTGTACCTTCATGTTTCTTATAGAGCTTCAAGAAATGAATTTCCCCCGTTTCAATACTATCCACATGTGATATGATGATTTTTGACCGTCAATCATCATAAAATACAAGGACCACAGTTGATTGAGCATAAACATTAGTGGTGGGGATAGAAAAAAGCTGGGAGGAAATTCCCCTTTTTCAGCGTGATTTCACCAATTGGTCAAATGATTACATTACATTAAGTTTCAAACATTCATAGAAAGGTGGAAAAATAAGAGAAGATAAAAGAGAAATAAAAAAAATAGGGTGTACGATGTTCATTCTCGTAAAGCAGATTTACACAAGGAGCATGATTTCCAGGAGCACCCATAGTGAAACAAATAAGAACAGCCTTCAACGACAGCAGATTCTATACTCAGGTATGTCACACCGAGTCTTTGATTAGATACAAAAAAATAGAACAGTTGGAGTTACCTCAAAAGCACAGCCATTTCTTTCAAGCTTCGTGTATTTGCTCTTCTTTTCATCTCAACAAACTCAGGAACATCGAACATGTGCTTTTTTGAGTACACACAGATAAGATTCCTGGGAAAACATAACAGAAAAGCTTTATCCAAACAATTAGAGAGCGTATGAGAGAAATCAGCATTAAGCATATTTCAAAACTTCAGAAGCACCTTCCCATGCTGAAGGGCTTGCAAAGAGGATCTGTTAAAACCCTATCTCCCGCAATATATATCTGCAGAACAAAACCAAAACTTTGGTCAAGTGCAGGTTTCTAGAGGAAGAGAAAAGGACATTGGTTATGATATACCCGAAAAAAAAAAAAGAAAGAAAGAGAGAGCAAAAAAAGCAAAAAATAGCTCACCATGTTCTCAGCAAGATGAGGATTTGTTGCTTCAAGCAACAAGGCAATGACAGCTGGATCTGCTTCAGTTTGGTGGTTTGAGATCAAAACAATGTTGTGACCCTGCAATCAGTAGTAGAATATAACAACCATATCGCGAAGTCACCTTTGAGTGTTTATTTCTTCTTTACGAAACACAGATGAGCATTTCTATTTTTCTTATGATCTTACTGACCACATGATCACGCATTGGTACAGTGGGGAACAGCTAAACGCAACAAAAGAACATGGCATCTGCATGTTGCAAAACACAGAAACATCTAGGTCTTACCGACCAAATCTCAAACAATTAAGAGGAAGCCATAATTGAGACAACAAACAGGAGGAAGCGTTGCAATTCCAAACTCTTCCTAGTTCAGCTTGGAGGTGACATCTTTAATCCAGTTCCATACAGATTAAGTGTGCTCTAAATACAATTACAAAAAAGAAGAAATGTGGTTCGAAAGTTCATAGCCTATGCCAAGAATGCATTGATAGAATTGGACCAATCAACAAATGTGGATGCACATATTGTTCAAAGCTTTCTTAGTCATATATGCTATAGTTCAACTAATAACAGTGTCTTCTCACAACCTTATCATGCCTTCCCATTGACCCCGTTATCCTAAATATGTGTTTCAACAGATTTTACTTCCTACGATGCAAACATATATTAGCTCTAGAAGTAAGTTGTTCAAGGAAGCTATGTAAGAAATATAAAGACTAGTGAAATAAAGGTTTCAAAATATATTTACACATATATACGTAAGAAAATAGTCACATTTCAAACACGTTTAAAAATAAGGAAAGTAGAAGTTGGTTGCGAGAATAGATACCTGCTGAAGCTTCTCTTCCATTTCATTGAAAATGGAAATATTGCCAACATATGAGTTTCTGCATTAAAGTTGGTCAATCTTTAGTTTAGGAAAACAGTAAAACATGAAGGAACTGACATTATCTCATTAAGAAGTGACAAGAACTCATCAAGCACAGATAACATTCTCATAATTAATGGTCCATTGCATAATCCGTAAAGGAAAGGAAAAGAAATTGGAACAACAAGGAATAAGAATGTTAACAGTCATTGATGGGGATCTTATATTAGTTAATTTTAATATTTAACATTCAATTTCTATTTAATTAGGGATTTATGTTATTAGCATAGTTTCCCATAGCCAACTTTCCTTATTTTATTTTGATCTAGTTTCCTATTTTGCTTAATTAGGAATTTATGCTACTTTAGAGGTAAGGTTAGTTTCCCACTACCGAGTTTCCATATTTCATGTTGATTTAGTTTCCTATTTTGTTATTTGGTAATCCTGTAAACATAGTAGCATTGTAATTTCAATTTAGAGAATGGTTAATGAATATAGAATCAGTGGTTTTCCTCTCTTGAGTTAATGTTCTCTCTAGAATCTCTCTAGTGGCTTTTTCTTCCCTATCTATGTTCTATTCTCCTCTATAAATTCTATCTTTCATCTTGACCCTACATCAAGAACTTTATCAACGAAAGAGAAACTACAGAATGCAATTAACTATGACGTCCCACACCAGATGAAAATGGAGACTTGGCCACTCTCTCTCTCTCTTACAGAAGGCAATTAACTATGAAGTCTCACACTAGATGAAAATGAAAACTTCTGCGGTTTCTTTTTTACTTTCTATTTTGGATGATAAACAAAAGTCTCTGACAGTTTTAACTAACCTGAAATCAATCAATGGTCGAATATAATTTTGGCCAAACATATAGTAGTCAAAAGGCTCTCGCAGTGCTTTGTGATGTGGAGAGAAGACAAAAGGGTCCTGAAACGTGAAGATAACATGTAAGATTGTATTCAATCGTGGGCTGCATGTATATCAAACATGGCTATGGCCAATTTTAATCATCTTTTGTGCTGCATGTATAACGACATTATATAAAGCATACAAAGCTCAATGTTACCTCTACTTCAAAGAATATGCGATCCAGTGCAGCAGCCATATTTGACAATACAATATCATCGGCTTTGGAATTTCCACTTTGAAAAATCTGCCAACATGAGACCATGTGAATCAAAAAAGAGAAACAGAGTTTATACATATCGGAAAACAGAGAAAAATATAAGCACATTATAAGCGAAAAACGCATCCTAAACCTACAATAAACCTTTTATGTGTTAGATTTACAAACAAAGAACATACCTAATATACTTACCAGAGTAATAGCGACATGTCAAACATGATCAGATATATGAATAATATAACTGTTAAGAATATATCTTGATATTTTTGAGTAAAAGATGAGTTGACAGTAAATATTTACAGCATTTTTATAATTGTGATACAATTCTTCCATTCCAGAAGCAACATTTGGAGGAAGCCGTCCTGCTTCTTTTTCCTTTCTGATTCCAGCCAGTAGCTCTGCACATGATTTTCAACCAAAATCAAAAAATTGAAACTAAAAAGCCCATTATAAGTTGGAAAAGATTATTAGAAATAAATAAGTTGTCCAAGTGACAATTTTTATTATGTACTTTAAATATGTGTTCATAGAAGCTGCATGATTTATTTTTAAAATTTCATCTTTATGCATTTTCCAAAGTTAACACCTTAGCTGTACGATAAACATCTTGAAAACCAATCTGTTAAAATGAGGGGGAAAAAACAAGAATATTGAAGTTCAATAACATAATTAGGAACGAAACTAAAAAATAATAATAATAATTGAACCACAAAAGAATTTTAGTTTCACAAGCTGGTTCTGATAGCAGCTCCATTCATGTTAAAATCAATTTAGAGTGAATGCTTAAGTTTATGGAACTTCTATCCAAGACAATCTTTTCTTGTTTTATTTTTTCCCCCTTTTTTGCCAAGTAAGTGGATCAAAGCTTAAGCTATTGTTTTTATTTCTTTTATTTAAAAAAAAAAAAAGAATTAGAAAGAGATCGATGAAACATCCATGAGTGTTTTCTAATTCATGTTTTCATGTCCTCAAACATTTAAGATATTTTACACCATCTTCCCCACCTAACTTTCAACAAAGAAGAAGGAAAGAAAATTCTATTGCCCTAGATGTCTCATTTGTTTGTTTGCATTTAAATTCTGATACTTCAATAGAGAGAGCATGCTGCAATAAGATTTATTATCTCTCTATATGTCAACCTAGGACAAACGTAAAGCAAATGAGATATTGTGTCAGGATAAAGCTCATGCTAGGTTCTATTCTTTAGTCGCATTACCTTTCTTCAAATGTCCTAAATTGAGAATGAAACTCTTAATTTGAAGGACTCAGTTGAAATATAAAGAAAATGCAAGGAAACAAATTACCAAAATTATGACTAATCAAGAACTTGTGACATGAAAGAATAGACTCATAATCAACTTTTTGCAAATAACCAATTCCTTTCAAAGAAGACATTCAACTATGACCTTCAGGAAAGTTTCAGAGATTGATTCCAAAGAAGCTAGTAAGTCATCTAGTCATAGTTCCCCATGCAGGAAAAGAAAAAAGTGCATTAGAACATAATAAACAAAATTTTCTTTTCTTTTCTTTTCTTTTTCTAATAAGAAGCAAGGCGTTTATGAAAGAAGAAACAGAGAACAAGGAAACACTAGAACCTATAACTAAAAAGTTTACTAAAAAAATTAGAACTAGAAAACTCATATTTGTGAAAAGTTTCAGACTTTGTAGAGATAGTTGAGTCAGTTAAAAGCAGTGTATTCACAGCTTAAGATAATTGATTTCTAGACAAGTTGAATGCTACTCTAATGTGGTGAAACACAAAAGTATCACCATAAGCACATAAAGTGGTGAATGTTAGTGAACATTGTACTGCTATAATCAGTTTAAATCTTCTTGGGACCAAACAAAGTGGTGAAAACATGTATAGAATTTCCTTTTCAAAAGCACAACGTACATGTTTTATGAACAAAAATAACACGCCTCATAATCCAAACTACAAAAACAAACAAGATTACCAATATTTATTGCCATAATTGAATCCGCGTAACACCAAAATTGGATATATGAACAAGCCTACCATCTGATGCACTGATTCAACTGGCACCATTTTTAGAACACTTGCTTGAGATTATTATTATACAATAAGGGAGTGAAGAAGTGTGTTAACCATGTACTGATTCAACTGTCATTTATGCTTCAGGTGACAACAATCTACTAAAATTCCAATCTTTCCAAATAAACAATGTCTTATATGATTAGATTCTACATATTCTTTGATTATCAATTAATCGCACTCGCTAAACTCGTGATAAAATTATTGGCATTATTTATGCACCAGTGCCAAGTAATCAATGAATAAAAAAAAATTATGAACCTTCGAGTAATTCAGAACAATCAAACACCTTCATTTGCTTCGTACATTCAAATTTGATTATGTTTTCCATTGTTTTCTTAATCACGCACAAAAAGAGGACCAAAAGAACGCACGAGAGAGGAGGAAATAAAAAAGTAAAAATAAATAAAAAGCAAAGCATTTAAAAAGCACAATCTCAATCCAAAACACAACGCAACGCAACAATTTCTCATTTTCCATCCCGCATTATTTTCTCACAAACCAAACACAAAGCAAAGCCTACCTTCTTCGGAGCTGGCATTGAGAAACGCGCGAGAACGCTTAGGCTCCTTCCTCTCGGCGCCGGAGCCCGATGCCAAAGCCGAGACGCCGCCGCCACTCTCAGCAGCCGCCGACGACGCCGCCTCCTTGTCCTTGACGAGCTCCGCCATGGCAAAGAAACAAGGACAAGCGAACCTTCTCGCCCCGCCCAACCTGACCGAGACGGCCAAAACCTTGGAAGAAGAAGAGAGAGAAGCGAAGGAAACCCTAGGAGAAGCTACGGCAGTGGCAGTGGCAATGGCGGAGGAGAATGTGGATAGGATAAACATAGTCAATCAAAAATAGATAAAGAAGAAGAGAATGTGGAGGAGAGCTGATCGTACGCTACAACGCTTCTTTAACGGATCTCTCTCTCTCTCTCTCTCTCTCACTTTCACTTTCTCTCTCTAAGAAGCCGACTTTCTCTCTCTAAAAAGGTTTCTGTTTCGGATCATCCGAGAACTTCGGTGGTGTTTTTCGCCAGACTCGGAGGGGCTGACTCAATGACTCGGAGGCGACTCGGTAAGAATTGGTGGGCGTTTTGGCGGCACGTGCGTTTTGGGAGGGGCCCACGTGACCGTGGGACGTTGTTGATGACGCTGGGTTCGGATTGGGTGAGGGTATGCCAGCGGAGGAAATGAGGACACGTGGATAATTACGGCGATGGACGAGTGTGAATGTGACACTTCATCACTGCAATTGGATGTCGTTTTTTACTTATTGTGATTCATTATTATTTTCCGAAATTGTGCCAAAGTGGAGAGATTCCATGGGCCCAATTGGGCCATCGCTGTCATGAGGAAGCTCCGCCGACGACTTTGCGTGACCGCAAATCGTCATCGTCAAGCTTAGCTTGTTTGGGATTTGTTTCATGAATGCGAACTATGTATCTTGATTAACATGTTACTCAAATTTTAAAAATGATTTATATTTCACTCTTTAAAAAATATAAAATCCTTCAAAATACTTTTAGAATTATTATACTTGTGCCCTAAATTTAAAAGAAAATCTAGTGTTACTGATGATGAAGATTAGGATTTTTTTAATTTGAATTTTATAATTATTTTTAAGATGTAATTTTAAATTAAGATCATATTTATCTCGTATGATTATTTTTGAATTAGTTAAGTTAGATATTAGTAATTAAAATTCTTATCTAGGCTTTTGATGATTGACAATTTATATCGACGGCATATTCTTTTCACGATTCAAATTGAGAATTTTAGTTTAAAAGTAAATTTTATATGAGAAAAAACATTATAATAAAAAAAATTGAAAAACATTATAATAAAAAAAATGAATTTAAATTTTTATGAGAGAAAACATTGTTATTCGTATTGTGAAATGAACATGATGTGTGTTTTTAGTTTATATCTCTATTGAGTTCTTCTCATTATGTTTCTATCTATCTATTCTATTTTATCTCTCTCATAATTCATCTTATCTATCTTAATTTAGGTACTCTCTCAATTCTCTCTTCCTTTATTTAAATTCTCACTTTATTCTCTAATTTCTACTTGGTCACACATCAATAAGGTTACACAAAATCAATAGTTCGGGGACAAATTGACTTAAAATTATTAATTTATGGAGTATTTTGTGGAATTATAAATAGTGTTACATCGTCATTTTATTAGCAATATATATACAAAAGGGGTCTTTTAAATGGTTTTACATAGTTCATGAAGTGAAATAAACCTTTCTTAAAGTTTGGGAGTGTTTATAAAATCAACATGTTATTTTCACTTTTGTCCCATCTGATGTTCACTTTTGCACTTTGTTAGGTAAGAATGAAAAATAAAATAAAAGGGAAAGACAAATTAAAGGATAGAAAAAGATTTTGTTTGATATAAGGATTCAAATCAGAGTAATTTTTAGTTTTTATTTTGAAACCAGAACTATGATTCATAATTTTGAGTCCAAATCATAGTTCTGAAACTAGAAGCAGAATCAATAGTTTGAACCACCCAAAACTAAGGGGGAAGGGGGGAGTGGTTTTAAAATCATGAGTGATTCTGGTTTAAAACATCATATCAGGGTTCATACCTTGAATCAGAACTATCAAAATCAAACATTGATTCTGAGTGTGTCAAATCAGAACCACTTTTTATTGTTTATAAACAAACACTAGTTTGAATAAGAATCATGATTCTGGGTTCTAGAAACATATACCAAAAGTTTCCTCTTTAATAATTGATAGGGAGAAGAACTTTCATTTTTGGATTTTAGAATTTGAAAGTGAAAATAAAAAGGATAGAAAATTATAATTAAGACAATTACCATTTTGCTAAATATAATATTTTATAAAAACATAATAAAATAACACTCAACATCAAAGTTACTCCATTAAAAACAACATCAACTTTACTTAAAAAATGGCATACTAAAATATTATATATGTCTATGTATACATGCATATATCTACATTTAACCGACATTAACATGCATAAAATAATTCAACTTTTATTGCATTTAAAAAAAATTACATTAGTACTTCACCTTGTTGAAGTTTCAAATACAATAAAATAGTAGTTTTAATTTTTAGAGGACTCTCTAAATTTTAGTTAAATTCTAATTAAAATCTAACAATATTCACTTCATTCATATTCCTTATTTTAACAAAATATGGACTATTTTAATATTTATTAAATTTAAAATATAAATAACTATTTTGTTCTAACAGCTATATTTTCAATGATCATATTTCAGCCTCTATAAATAAGATCACCTCGGTCTCATGTTTAATCATTCTAAACTCTATTTATCAACAATGTATATCGTCAATAGTTCTAGCTCGTTATTGGTTAGCCATATGCTTTTCGACGGTGATTCTAACGATGAATTTCATTTGTGTTGGTACCGGTTTGAGTCTTTTAATACTTTATAAGACAATATGAATAATGCAGAAACATAAAATAAAAGAACACGAGAGAAATAGTATCGCGGTTCGGTAACACCCTACTCCGCGAGGCCATGCCTAGATGATGAACAATCCACTAAGAACTCTTTTACAATTCAATTAGACTTAATCTACATGTGACTCCCTCTCAAAGAAGACGCCTATGAACTTGTAATTTCCCAATGGACTTGAACAGCGAGATCCCCTCGACTTTTTAACATTGGAATCCCTCCAACTAAGTTTTTCTCCTGAAAAACACTCAAATCATTTCTTTGAATACAAGTGCTCATCCCTGTCTCACAACCCAGCAAAAGTTCATCAAAAGGCATACAAAGACTTAAGGAACACTTTCAATAAATAAGCAAGCTGTGAATAGCTTGACACATCTTCAATTAATTCGCTGAACCAAATCTGTTGCAGATTGTTGTTGTAACGATAACTGCAACATAGCTGTCATGACCAACTTTCTCAAAACCAGACGAATCAATCTCCTTTCATTCTGAAATCTTTCCAAAACTGATAAACGAACCTGGACACGTTCTTAGGCGACATAGGAAGATCATCCAGCTATGAAATCTCAATCAAGAATCAATCAAATCAATTTTTCATCTTTGAATCAATAGTTGACTTACAAAAATAGAAACTAAAATAAGTTTCCAGATCTTTTAGTAACCTTCCATAAAAAGCTAGCCAGCTGCACATCTATTTTCAAACACAATCAACCAGCCAAACATTCCCAAAATAATGCCAATCAAATACTATTAGAATCAATACACAAATTGAAAAACAAATCCCAACAATCTCCGGAAACAAATCCCAACAATCTCCCCCTTTGGCATTGTTTTGGCAAAACTAATAATAGCAACTAAAACACAATACTTTTTGTAAAGTCAACCCGCACAAATCAAACCTACTAGACTACTTACTCCCCCTTTTTGACAAAAATAAGCCAAAAAATCTAGAAACTATGCAACACCTCCTTGTAAATCACATTCCAATTCATTGAGTTTTACAAATCGCTCCCCCTAAATCCTCCACGAGTCTTATTCCCCCTGAATATGGTATTCTCCAATGCATATTACTTTATCACCTATCAAAAGCTTGAAGTAACCATTACCACAATACTCAGAGTTAGTAGTACATGCTCTAAAAGAAGTATAAACCCCATGACACCTTAAATCATATTTCCTTATCCACACACGTCTAGGAAATTTATTTTGCACATCAATCTTTGCTTTAGGTGTCCTTCTTGTGAATGTGAAATTTGGTGAATTAATGATCATACATCTTTTTAAAGCATTCAAGTATTTACAACATGTAGGTCTAATGTGGCCAGACAAATTATAATAGTGACATATAGGAACGAACCTGTCTGTTGCTTGTCTTGTTACAACAGGCTTTGTAACAAACTTCTTGTCTGATCTTACCCGGGATTTCTTAAAGGACTGCATCATAGTACTGGTGGCTCCTTTCATAAAGACAGTATTCCCAGAAATTTCTTAACCCTTGTAGCCAAGGCCTGAATGATCACCACAAGTTTTTTGTCATGAGAATAAGTGATCCAATTTTGATGTGCCCGAGTTTAGCATCCTTAAATTCTTTTGGGTTTGCTCCAATTCGAGTCTGGTCTCAATAAGCTTTCTCTGATGCTTTGTTGCCAAGATTTTATAATTTGTTGCAGCCTTCTTCAACTCATCTCTTTCCTTTGTTAAGACACCAACTTCATATTCAAGCGATTTGTTACGTTTGCGAACAACAAGCCATTTGTTGTACATCTTCTTATAAGCCTCTTGAATCTTTCCAAGGCTTAGGTCATCATCGTCACTGTCATCTTCAGTTTCATCCTCGAAATCTATATCATCAACAATTCCACCAGAGGTTGTTGCAGACACTGTGCTGTTACAACAGACTCTGTAACAACATTATCAGTGCTAAATAAATTTTTATCCATGAATTCATTTCTTACAGTGAAAGCCACATAATTGCTGGTGTGATCATCTGTATCCTCTTGACTTTCATCCGAATCATCACTCCATATAGACGTCATGGCAGCCTTGTTTCTCTTCTTGAGAGTGTTTGCACACTCCGCTTGAACATGTCTGAATCCTTCACATTCTCAGCATTGTATTCCCTTTCTTTTCTTCTCTTCAAACCATTGAGAGTTAAAATTCTTCTTTTGATAATTTTTGTTCTTTGAATTTCGTCATGCCTTCTCATCAATAGCTTTAACAAAAGCTTTCATGTGAGCCTTCCAATAGGGGTAATTGACACCTTCCAGAAACGGTAGTTTGTTCACAAATCCTCATTCTCTCATGACATCCATTCATGCAAAATCAACTAGTACACCAGGACCTCACCAAAATACACATCAGTGACCCGCTCTGATACCAATTGTTGGTACCGGTTTGAGTCTTTAACACTTTATAAGACACTATGAATAATGCATAAACATAAAATAAAAGAACACGAGAGAAATGGTATCGCGGTTCGGTAACACCCTACTCCGCGAGGCCACGCCCAGATGATGAACAATCCACTAAGAACTCTTTTACAATTCAATTAGACTTAATCTACCC